GAGGAGGAAGGGGTTGACCTGGCACTGCTGACCGTCCCCCAGGTGCAGGGGAGCTCCGGAATTCCAGGCTGCCACCAGCCAAGAGACCCGCAGAGAGACTTTGTCACCAGGGACCAAGAATGGGGGCCACAGCAGTGGAGGCCTGCTCAGGCCCAGGTCCGTGGGGCCAGTTCTTCCACCGGCAGAGCCAGCGTGGGCTGCGGCCAGTGCTGGGAGAAGCAGGAAGAGGAGCCTCGCTTTGCCAATTTCGTGCATGGAGGACGGCTGGGGGGGTGGGCAGCACCCAGCGATGGCCGCCCCACCCTTTAGGAAGTACTGACGTTAGCGTTATCTTATTTCTTATCTTATTTGCAGGGTAATTATCCCTGTTTGGTAACTGAGATTCAGAGAGGGTAAGCAATTTTTTCCCGGGTCACAGAGCATGTTGGTAACGGAGCTAGGATTTGAATCTGGATCCCGAGTTTCTAAAAGACTTGTGCTTTTCACTCGCACAGGGCCTCGGGGGAGCGCCGTGACAAGGTGATGGATAATGGCGGTTAGAAGGCCATGATCTACTTGGGGGCCCTCCCAGCCGGTGACAGGTGGCATCCATGGTGATTGGTGAGGGGCCGTGTGGAGCTGCGTGCTGGCTTCCAGGCATGTCATGGCAGTGACTTTGGAGCCATCACTCTTGCTACAGTGCGTCAGGAGGCCCAGATGACAAGCGCCAAACGCACCTGGCACAGCCGGGCAGGAGAAGAGCCGGGCGACTCGCTCCAATTAAGATGCTGCGGGAGAAGAGCCATCGTCCCGCAATTACCAGGGACCTCCAGGGCGTCCAGGGGCCTCCAGGCCTGGGGGGTGACAGGACGCCGCCGGCTTCTGCTCTGCAGGGGGCTTGCAGGTCCCCCTCCTGGGTCCAGCTTCTCCTATGGAAAGGGCTCATCTCACAGGGAAGGGACGGGCAGTGGGGACCCAGGACACCCCTACTCTATGCTCGACTCTGTGGGGCCTTTGGGCCTGTGCTGTGGGATCCCCTGCGGGGTCCTCCAGGCAGGGCTTGGCCAGGTGCCACCTCCCCCGGGAAGCCTTCCTAGGGCCCTGGGGTGGGTCATGGCTCCCCCGCCCCCCACTCTGTGCCACCTTGGGTGCGTCTTGTCGTCCTGGAGGCTGAGCGTCCATCTCCCCCGGGACTGTGACTCCTGAGAAGGCCCAGGTGCTCTGGACTCAGGTTGGTCTCCGCAGCTCCCGGGGCCAGTCCTCCAGCAGCTTCTCCATAAATGTTGGTTGGATGGATGGACAAGAGAGAAGGCGGCGGAGGTGAAGGGGTCAGCCGTGCCCGAGGACAAGCCCACGTTCGCAGGCCCAGGAATCCACCCGCTTCAGACCGGGGAGAGGACAGTCTGCAGGACCAGGATGAGCTGAGGGCATCGTGGCCACCACAGACAGGCACCGTACCGGGAGGACACTGGGACAGGCCCCAGGAACCGTCAGCGAAGGCCACAAGGAGCTGATTATCCTCAGGCGCTTTTCCACGCTGAGACGCCGAGGTCTGGGCGGCGCCAGCTCTGATTCCGCGGATGGCCCTGTCCCCGGAGGCGGATCTGGGGAGCGCGACCTGGGTGTGCGGTGCCTGTGGAACTTCAGGGTCCTGTGCGGGCTGTGACCCAGGTGGGGACCTGGAAAGTTTTCCTGAGATTTTCATAATTGAGGGAGACTCCAAGGGGCCGGGAGGGACAGGAGAACCAGGGGAATAGCCTGTCCCCGGGGCCGGGGGTGAGGGAAGGCTTGGCCCAGCCGGGGCCATGGGTCAGAGCGGGCAAGGACAGACCACAGGGTCCAGAGAGTGAAAAGCCAAGGCGGGCGCAGAGCAGGGGCCCAGGAGAAGGTGGAGCTGGATGCCAGGGC